GTGCAAGCCGGTTGGACTCCAAACCCAGCTGTCACGCCCAAGAGTAGGCCTTGCGTAAGGAAAATCTGCCATAGCCCGCCCCGGGGACAGAATGAAAGTGCTAAAAGCGCGGCTGGCGTGCCCAAGCCAGAGAAGAGGTATGGTCCCTACTAAATATTAGCGGATAGTTTCTGATAGAGGTGTGCCTGCATGCCTTGATACCATGAGCATCACATATTCCTCCGGCAACCGCAGACAGAAAGTTCATCAGCGCGAGTTGGAGTGTTCCGATGAACGCAATAGTGGATGGAGGTACCGTGCTAAGGTAGTTATCTTGGTAGTAATTTTGGAAGAAGCCAAAACTGTTCAGAAGCCCAAAGGATGAATAATAGACGAGGAATGAACCGAAAATCGTCAGCCATGCTTGTCTCCCTCCGTCTTGGTGTGTGGACTCGTGTTTAATCAAACTACGAGAGGTACTTTCTGTATCGGTCATACTCGCGGTATCGACGTTGGAATTGCCAATCACTCTCTTTTCCATTTCGTCGTGATCGCTGAGGGATCATCTGTTGTCGTCTACATCACGACCATGGGAAACGGCCCCTGATATACAGAAATCAGGACATACCAGGCCTTTGCCAGCAAGATACTCCGCGATTTGTATCCTTTGCTGGCGTCATATCCCGCCAACATTGTCACGCTGCGATGTCATTTCCGTCTTGAGCAAACGCAGGTACTAGAGCTTCGTACTTAGATCTCAACGACAGTTGTAGTATACGGATACATGGCTGCTTCGGGAAGTTGGTTTCGAGTGGTTGAGCATTTTGGAATCGTCATAAGACAAATGAGTTGGATCTGCACGACTATCCGTATATTCAGTGGCACTCGGGACAGCGGCTGACAGTTGAAAGCATGAGTAACCCATTGCGAGGGTCCATCAGAGTTCCCCAGTACGTGCCCTACGATGGTGGTTGGCACGAATACATCATCGAGATACCTTATGGAGCGAATGCTCATCATCTTATAGTGGGTCTTGTGGTGTCAGCCGAGCGGGAGCAACCAGTTGGTACACCCCATGGAATAAGTGTCACGCACAATGCGTGAGGAATTTGGAGAAGCTATCCGGGCGCAAAATCTTCGCCATAGTCTGGATCAGTGTTCTTAGGATGCCCTCGCGTGAGGTGGATGAAGTCGGGATGGGGATGTCCGATGAGTACAGCGCGTCCTCATACTAATATCCATACAACCCCGAAAGAAGAGAAGTCAGAATAGCTTTAGACTTGGCGATACTCCTTGCGCTAAGAGCCATAGCTCTTGGTTGAGTGCATGCCTACCTAGGTAGGCCAAGGCAAAGCCACGCTCATGCGACGTGGCGGGACGAAACCTCAACGCATGGACACTGCCAGTTGTCCATCTGAGTCGCATGAATCTGTGCACGTTCCAGAAATCGCCCAGGAGCCGGCAGGTAATACCACGGAAGCATGCATGACCCCGGGCGGGTAGTCGGCGGGATTTGCCAAGATACGCCGATCGCACTGGGGCAAGTTTACCGCACCAAACCATGGGCGGGCCATGGTAAACACCAGCCCAGAGCGACGCGAATCAAAATCTACCCGAGCAACAAAAGGCATCGAATGCAATAAGATGGGTTATCTGTCTAAGGTCAGGAGGATGGAACTCCTGTAGGTGGCGTCGGTTGCAAACGCATGTCCGCGGATCGGGTACATGACGCAATCCACGTCACGTGCATTTCGACATGGAAGAATCAACATCCGCGATACGGATGCCACATCGTCCCCGCACCGCATCTTCTATCGTCCGTTGAGTCAGCACCTTCATCGCTCGGCCTTCTGTTTGTCGAAGATGAGTTCCACGGAATTACAAGACCGGAATGTGGCTTGGTTCACCGAACGCCCAGATGATTCCCAGCTATCAGCCGATGCCCGCCATCTGCTCGAGAGCTACAGCAGAATTCCAGCTGACGATGTCGTTGAACACGTCATCAAGGTGCGCAACCAAGCCTGGACGATCTTCCCATATCCATGCATTGGCCAGTTCCGCTTCTTGGACATGTCCATGAAGTACACAAAAGAATACCCGGAGCTTTTGGAGCGGCTCGCTAAAGGTCAACGCTTGTTGGACATGGCTTGTTGTTTTGGCCAAGAAATCCGTCAGCTTGTGGCAGACGGTGCCCCGCCGGAGAACATCTTCGGATGCGACCTTCGAGAAGAATACGTTGAACTTGGGTATCAATTGTTCCGCGACCACGACCGCCTAAAAAGTCGATTCTTGACTGCAGATATTTTTGACGAATCGTCCCCGCTTGTAAAGCTACAAGGTACCTTTGATGTTGTTTACACCGGATCCTTCTTTCATCTGTTCGATTACGCAAACCAGGTCAAGGTGTCCACGGCAGTTGCGAAGTTACTTCGGCCTGAGAAGGGATCCATGATCCTCGGTCGACAAATCGGTGCAGTGAACGCTGCAACTCACGACCACAAGACCAATCCAACGGGAAAAATGTATCGACACAACCCCGGAAGTTTCCAGGAAATGTGGAAGAAGATCGGGGAAGACCTGGGCGTGTCGTTCTCCGTTGATGCAACTCTTCACGAGCTGGCTAGAGATCATTTCCGCTTCCATACCGATGACACGAGGCGCATTCATTTTGTCATTAGACGAGAGTAGCAGAATGTAAGGGTCGCATCTGATGCATGTGCACTAAGACGCTCATTGAATGTCGAGCCTTTAGGTTGCACTTGGTACGGTTAACTACAACAATACCCTAACGAGCCAAACACTCCGGAGTATATGTAGACGTAAGCCCTATATGTTCGGTATCGATGCACGGACACCGCGTCACATTATGAAGTGTTGTCTGGCTGGTTTCTATACTCCATCACAAACATCATCCCCAACAACAAGACCTAGCGCGACGATGAATCTGCAGAAGGCTTCCGTCCTGAAGGAAATTTTACATTCAGAAGTCTTTTTCGCCTGCGTGCAATGTTCTGGCCTCTGCCTGCGAATGTATTTTTAGGATCTCTGGTTAATATCATCTGAACACGCGATTTGCCGGGTTCGGGACCGGGGAAGCTCCAGCCACTAACCGTGTTCTAGATTGCTTCTACTTTGGATATACTTCGTTTGCACTCTTCAGCATATTCTCTTTGGCAGACCTCAAACGGTTATTCTAGGCTAGCTGCACGCTACCGCGGCTTCGGAGCGCCCACTGCCTGGTTTGGATGGTGAAGCCTTCGCTTTCGGCGCAGGTGCAATTGCAGATACGATGCGAACAGGGCTAATTGAATCCGCGATGGAGACGCGGCCTGTCGAATCAGCACTGGAACGTCGGCCTACGACGGACCTGGCCAGCCACGATGCCACCAAAGTATCGATTGCGCTCGAACGGACACCCCTCATCTATTCACAAATGAAATATGCTACACCACGAGCTATTTGCCAGAGCTTGCCGCTCGCTTCTGGGATGTGCCGCAAAGCATACCCACTTATAAAAGGAATAAATCCGCCCATCGGATTGTTGTAGCTTTTCAGACACGTACAAATTTCGTGTTGGGTCTTGGAGGCATCGGGCTTTCACCACAGAAATGAAGGCATCTCTTATTCTCGGTGCAGCGCTAGCTGCGGGCGCCAATGCATTGGCGATTGAGGCCAGACAGCGTCCGCAGCCTACGAGCACGCAAGCCGGTATCCCAGATGGTGAGTGCAACCTGCTGTTCTGGAGCCATACGATGTCGATTATGAGGATACCAGCTTGAAAGCCTCGTCGCTAATACGCCACAGTCTCAAAGTGTGGACTGGATTCCTTCGTGGGGCACACGTCGGAAGCGCTTCTGCTCTGCAGCAGCCTTCTCAAATCCGGGACTGCTACACAGACTGCCACTGTTACGGCCGGCACCACCACCACCATAAAGACGACCGTCATTATCACGTTGTATCCGCCTACCACGTCTAGCAGCGGACCAGGCAGGGTGAGTCGTCAATTTCCGAAGGTTAACAGTGTTAACCAATATCTAAGCCTACGACCACTCCGAAACCTCCGACATCCACTCCGCAACCAACGACATCGACAACCCCACGCCCACCGACGACGTCTACCACACCGACAACATCGACAACCCCACGCCCACCGACGACGTCTACCAAACCGACAACAACCGTCCCAACCGCATCCCCAACCCCGTACGAGATTCCATTAAAAATGTTTCAGAGAACTCGACTAACAGAGCATAGGTCTGCGGGCTGTGGAATCGTTGGCTACACCAAGGACACTGCTGCGTACTACTTTGACAGCTCTGGAACTAAGAACACCTTCGCCGCTTGCAGCGCCGCCTGCAAGGCTGACTCGCAGTGCAAGAGCTTCGGATACGGAGAGGCTAATTGCATGCTATTCACCGTTGACGCGTAAGTTGACCGCCTCGGACCCCTCGAGAGGCTGCTGACCTCAGATAGTATTTCTAACACGAACTACAATCCCATGTCCCCATACACCTTTTACGATGTCAACTGTCCGTCTGAGCTGCCCGTCAGGAAACGCCAGGTTCAAATTTCGGTCGGCCTTGGTATCTCGTCACTTTATTCGGCCTGCTCGTGCTTGATTACCTCGGGTCCGGGTGGCATCACAAAAACGACCTCGGTCACGGTGACATCGAAGGCTACGGCAACGCAGACTCTTACCAGGACTGTTAGCTTGCTGCCTGGTGATGATGGACGTTTCAACTAGAGGCAGACGAGAAAGAGAGGGCAGATTGTCTATAGTATTCAACAAGCGCAAGTCTATGGTAGATCTGCATGATGCATCTGATTCCAAATCCGATGTTCGTTAAAGAGATTGTTAAAAAGAATTGAAGATGTGCAGAGCAATGCTTGTGTTCCTTGACTGTGATTGGTCGGCCTATCCACCTCCTGTGCACTAATTACGTCCAGATATATAAAGCCAGACCCAGCACTCGCCCACCACACCATCAAGACCCCTCCTAGCAAGCCAAAAAGAAATTTCTTTCCGACACCGGGAATCGAACCCGGGCCACATCGGTGAGAGCGATGTATCCTAGCCACTAGACCATATCGGATTTGTTGTAAGCTTGATGTGAGAGACATCAAAATTGAGGTATATACTTCATTTGAGATTTCACAGAGCAATAGAGACTCGTGGAAGCGATATTCGGCTTGCTTCTTCGCAATGTTTCCGTGCTATGCGAGTTATCTCGAGCAAGGTTGTGGGACTGTTGTAGAATTTTTCGTTAGCGCTGTCGCTTCCCAAACCGTCTCCACCACATTGGCCACATTGGCCACTCGTAGTCTGGACATCACCCTATTGAGTATAGCATAATCCAAGGATGATTACAGTGTCTGGGAATATTATAGGAATGTTTGATTGACTATACGCGCTGGCAGTGTAACTCTTTTCATCCTCAATCACTCATTCGCCACCTTGTGGAGAGTACCAAAGATCAGGTAGATTGTCCAGACCTATGACCATCTTGTTTTCCTTCTCTGCGGGGTCCAATGCTTGTCTTAGCGCTCTGTTCGTGTCGAATTATACGAAACATCAATCTACAAGCCCGCCTACTCGTAATATACTAATGTTATAGTCTTGCTCAAAGCCACTACACCCTCGTGAAGCCTGTGCTGCATCAATGTCTCTCTAGGGCCAGGATGACGGGGAAACCTTAATATCTGTCCAATAAACTCCGAAGTTTGCCACGTTTCCGATGGCGCCGTTTTTCAGATTCTAGTCAGCGAAAGGATTCTTGTAAACAATCGGAAGCTTTTCCAGACAAGTCTGGCCATGTATGTGCTTATAGATCCACATGTGGCCGAGTACGAGGTTAAGCACACTGCTTACGAGCTGCAGTAGTAACTCTGCTTCTATGACAGTTAAGCCTGGTCTAGCGTGATTTAATCGTGAGCTATACGCGTAGACGATATGCAAGGAGTGTCAGATCTGGCGGAGATTCGGTAATAAAATGGTTCTTGGAATGAGATCATATCACCGTGCAGAGCTAACCAGTACCCACCCCTCTCATGGGAACATCAATTGTTAACTCTTAGCGAGCTTCTGCAAGCCGCGGCAAAACGAAATACAGGAACTCTGTGGGGTGTCTTATAGGGACGTAAAGACCGGATGTAAGCCAAGGCCTTTACTAGTTAAATATACAATAGTTAATCCTAGGGTAACTCAGCTTACTATACAGGTTTATAGTCTTGACCTAATACTATATCGCCGGTGTTTACCTTCCCGTGAGATCCACCCTTCTAACCTAACTATGTATGCTTACTAGATAGTAAACATGCGTATGGGTTTTATTGAAGATATCTGTTTGTCTTATCCAACAGTTTTGCACTTCTAGGAAACTGCTTGCCTCAATGTCTCTTAAGATATAACAGTATATATGACTAGGTCGATCTTCTGTATCTGATACACATCTCTGCCACTCTAGTTCGGATTCCACACCTTCCAGAAATATGTCGGACAAACTGCTAGAAAAGATTGTTAACAACCAGGTCACCATAGCGAGGTTGATGAATACACAGCAAGCGGATCTTCACAATTTCCTGTACAGACACAAAAAGAAGAGGGAAGATGATCTGGCCAGCAAGATGCAAGTGATTATCGACGCAATCCGGGATCTTAAAGAGTCAGTCGCTACAAGCAGCATACATACGACCTTGACCCACTCGGCTCCTCAGCCCATCAACACCGTTCCATTGATTGCAGAAACAACTGACCCTTCTATATCGAGAAGTAAGAGACCCAGGGGGTTGTGCCGCCTTAAAAAGACATGCTACATGAACTCGGTTCTACAAGCGCTAGCAGCCGTTGATCCTCACAAACTAGTACAAGAGTCAGGAGTGGCCCTGGGAAAGGCGACACCAATCAATAGAACACTTGATCGCCCTGATAATTACCAAAGAGTTATTGCCTTAGCTTTGGAAGGGCAGCTGAACTTGATGTGGGAGTTTATCGACATTCTCAAACTACTCCGAAGCAAGGGACCGCCAGCAGCAGTTATCCCTTATGCCTTTCAGTTCACCTTCTCAAGGCTTTTGGGTAAACAAGACTATGATGGGGCAGAAGAACAAGATGCAGCCCTATTCTTCGGCGACTTTCTCAGCTACCTACATGAGCATCAACCAGACTATAGTAACATAATCGATCGACTGTTTCGTATTCATTCCTCTTCCCTTGTGAGGTGTAGCAAAACATCCGAAGTGAAGGGTCTCACTGAAGATAGCTGGTGTTATTCGCTGAAACCACTGCCCCACCTGGAGACGACTACTGTGGGTCAAGTGGGAGGTGAAGATGCCCACTTGGAAGTACGAGTGAGAAGGCTGATGGAATACAATTTGACCTATCAGGATGGATGTGTGTTTAGCCATGAAAATTGTACACACGAAAAAACTCTCCGGTATCTCAAGCCACTTCCAGACTTTCTAATACTCAAGTTCTGGCGCCACAAGGTAGTTGAAGGAAAGTGGGAATGGAAGGCTGGCGAAAAGGTCGCATACAAAGTCTTGTTCGACGAGGACGACTACACCATCGATCTTTCAGACCACGTAGAACCGGACGGCAGCGAAAAATCTCGTTACATCTACAAGCTACGCACGCTCATCTACCACTTTGGCACTTTCGAAAAAGGTCACTACTTTAGTGTTTCAAGAACAGATGAAGATGGGTCCAATGATTGGTGGCAATGCGACGATGCTCATGTCCGCAGTGATCTGACTGGTCCTGATCCCGTGGGAGAATTTACAAACTCCCAGGCTTATATGGCCTTGTACGAAAGAGTCTATACAATCAAACCTACGGTTGAGAGACATTATCAGAACGAGCATGGAGACGAGCATGAAGGGGATATGTGTAGCGCAGAATCGGCCAGTCAGTTACCGGAGAGTGAGGATAGCGCGATCCCGGAACTTTTCAGGGCCTTACATCTGGAGGATTAGATTTAGGTGAGGTCTTGTCACAGTATTGGTGTTACTAGGTGTCCACGATCACTAGCATGTTTACAGTGGACTGAGTTGCGGGTTGGAGTAGCCGGTGTCCACGATAGTCTAATGATTTGTGACCACAACTCTCATTCATGTTGTTCGTTTCATTTCCAATTTTTCATTACTCTCAAATCAAAAGATGGAAAAACGCACTGAGACTCTCAAGCTAGCTTTCGAGGCATAGCAGATCCTTGTTAGACTGTCAAGGTGGAAGTCATGAATCTGACAACTTCATTTCTTTCGTAAGAGATCTGCAAAGGTATGGAAATTGGTGGTCTACTCTTTCCCCTGCACTATGTACCTGTAAGCATTATTGAACCACATGCCGTTCTCTTCGTCGATGAACTCGGGTGTGGGCACCAAGCCTCGCCACTTGTTCTCGCCAACCTCAGTCACGAGTTTCGCTCCTAGCTCCTTCAAGCGCTTCTGTTCATGCTGAGCCTCCCCCTCATTGTACGTCGTGAACAACGCTGGTACATTGTCGTCAATCAAAGCCTGTATGGTCGGTTCCCAGTGTGTCTTCGCGTCATCGCCGTCAACCCATCCACTGTTGAACAGCACGACCAGATCAGGCTTTTCAAACGTGGATTCCAGAATAAATTCGTGGTAAACCCCTTTGTGCAGCGAGATCGAACGCTGACGGCCATCTGCCTTGCAAGGCGGGCAGCAGTCGAGGTTCTGCTTGGCAAGAACAGTACCATCGGTTGGACCTGGTATGCCGGAGCCAATGGCTGTGATGTGTAGACTTTGCACACTCGGTACCAGATGTAGCAGTTCTTCAAAGTTCGCTAACGCTGTAAGTTCGCGATCTGTAGCGCCTAGCATATGTACAGTAAGATGCGGCTTGTCCCAATTGAGGTCCTCGAGGGCTGATACAATCGTCAACGGCATGGTAAGGCTGTCGGTGGAGTACAAAAGAAACATGAGCATTCGCTCTGCTTCATCTTTCTCGTTATCAGATCCATTTCTGTCAATGTCAAACTCGATACTGCTGAAGTCGGGTTTGAATCGCCCTTCTATCTGCTGTTTGTCCGATATCTTTGTGTAGTAATCAAACCATCCGGCAGCATTTGCGAGAGGCTTGTGGGTTTCACGCGGGAACTGAGTACATGTAATCGGAGTTGCTTTGCCGGTATCTTCAAAGAAATTGATGCGGAAGTTTTCAATACGACGAAAATTCTGGTAAGCGCCGCATATTGAGGCCGAGTGCTCAGGCGTCGACGAGCAATCAGCGCACGAGAAGACTAGGCGACAGTCTTTGCAGCGTTTAAGAGTGACCTTGCGGCTTGCGAGTTGTACTGCGCTGCGGCGACAGGAAGCGCAATACGCTTGCGCTCTATCGAAGTCAACATGAACCCTGTATAATCTTGATAGACTTTACTGACTGGACAATGTAGCGCAAATCCTCATCTCTGGGTGCAGCATTTCGAATCACGCGAACCATCATTAACTGTAATCTATCAGCTCTTGACATAAACAATGACTCACCTTTAGCATCTCCCGTGGTCCACTTACTAGATATTCCCGATATTCGTCCCATGTTCTGGATGCCTGGTACTTCTCTTCCTCAACGGTGTTCACTGTTTTGAAAATGGTGCAGTGATTCTTGTGCATGAGCTTCCAATCAAGCTTCTGGCATTTTGCGGAACAGTAGTACGCCCGCTTGCAACCTGAGCACTTCAAGATGTCATCAGACGGGCTGAAGCATCGAAAGCAAAGGTTGCCTCGAATCGCGCCGACAGGAAGACCTGGTATGTCGACCGTACCTGAAGCCGCTATACGCTCGCGGTCCCTGCACTTGGCTGGCATGATGGTATAAGTAAGATAGGATCTTGGAATATGCACCTCATGCGATGTGAGCTGTTGGCTCAGTGGAGGGGTTGCAGTGCACAGAAGTTTCACTACGAGTTATGTAACGGTACTAGCCGAATATGCGATAGCGCCCGCGCTAAGATATGCCCTCTCCGTCAACGATGTTAATCTCTCACGCCTCCCTTCTTACTCCCCGTCACATCCATCTCAAAAATTCGCATATGCCTTAAGATAACCCAGCTGCCTTGATGACCCAGTTCGCAGC